ATGTTGGCTGGAAAGTTAGAATTGCATTTTTATGTCACAGCCATCAGTTCTCATCATCAATGGAGAAGACGTCCCTGACCCCCACCCAGGTCTGTACCTTTTTTTCCCAGCACCCTCTTCTTTTCCCTCACTGTCCTCACTGCCACCTGTAATTATCCTTGTATCTTTGTGCGCTTCTCTTACTGACCATAGGCCCCGCTTTAAGCACGAAGTCAGAGTTCAGTAAATATTTCCCAATACAGTAAATCAATGTGATGTATTTGCTGAGCCTGCTTAAGGGGGATACAGGAACTTTGCTGAGGATACAATGAGGAGTGTTGGAATAGCCGTCCAGCTCAGAGCCAGTGATGGAGGAGCACGGAGAGAGAAGGCTGGAGAGGAAAGGTGGCTGGTGGTGTCCTAAGGGCCCTTTTTGTGGGAGGGGGTTGTGTCACAGAATAAGGAATCTGTTACGAGAGGCCGAAGCTCTGCATGTGACATTCATTTAAGTTTAGTCACACTTTTTCAAAGTGGACTCTGTCTATATTCAGCATCTTTGCCAATTTTATGTATTTTTCTCTCTTTCTCGCTCTTTCTCTCTGTTTTGTTTTGTTTTTGGTGGGGCATGGAAGTACAAGGAGGTATTGGTCACATTGCCTACTTATTATACGATTCCCGCAAGTACTTTGAATGGCAACTTCATAAATAATGGCTATTTATGATTGTTGTCTAGACTTAACAAATGGTTATTTAACAGGCAATGAAATAATTTACCCCCAGTTCTCATACTATAATTACACACATCACTTTTAAGGGGCACATGGTAGGACTTATGCTCAAAATGTAAGTGTTGTTCACAGTGGCGACTTATTCTCTACGGACAATGAAATTAGTATTCACTAGTACGAAATACAGAACAAAGACAAGTATAAGCATTTTTCAGGGATCGGGTTCTTGGAAAGAGCTGAATGTCTAAGTCATCATACATCTGATCAATGCTGATTAGAAAATGTTAAATAACATGGCCATTCATTAACTTCACAGTAGTACCGGCTTAGTTGCAAACACTTAGAAAAGACAAAAGAAAATAGAAAATAAGAAAAACAATACAGAATAACAGTGAAATTTTGATATATTCTCCCTTCTAGGTTTTTTTCTCCTACTCATGAATTTTTAAAGCATACAATTAGAATCCTACCGTACATATGAGCATCTCATATAATCTGCTTTAAAATTTTAATATATCATTAGTGACTCTTGAGGTCCGAACATTCAGAGCTTCATTGTTTAATGCTGTAACTGCCAGAGACATGAGCTATTGAGCACTAGAATTGGGGCTAGTCTGAATTAACACACTGGATGCCAAGTCTATACAGAAAAAGTAAAGTATTTCATTATTAATCTTTACATTGATTACATGTTGAACTATTTCAAATATGTTGGGTTAAATAAAGCATAATATATGAGTAATTTTATTTTTTGAATGTGCCTGCCAGAAAATTTCTAGTGACAAATGTCACTCTCTTGGATTTTTTTTGGTTGGATAATGCTGATCTATAGCGTCATTTCAGAGCTGCATTATTTTTTATTATATGAATAAAA